AAAAGGATTGTTTTCATTAGACAGTGTGTTTAATTATATTCTTTTAATTTCTTCCAGAAAATGTAAATGCGCTTGAGTTTGTATGTAATGGTATTTTTATTAATTTAAATGAGTCATTAAAATCATGTGAGTCAACTCAATGGAGTTTTTAAATTGTTGTATATTAACTGGCTTTTATTATTTCAAATCAATTTTAACAAGGCAATAATTTCATTATATCGTTCTGCATCTTAGATATTATACGATATTCACAATTTGTTTGTAGTACAATAAAACAATTTAGGTACTTAAGGATTCACAAATTGGATTTTACTCAGTCAGATCTGCTTGGAGTTAAGTCCAAAAACATGGAGAAATCAAAAACTCAAACCCTCACAAGACTCATCCGTGTATAATTGTCATTGATTACAATAAAACCTTCTACATTTTTAAATAAACCGAAAAAAAACAGACACATTGAATTTAAATTTAGTCTAAATCTATGCAAATCGACATTACATCGAGCAGCCTAGAATTATAAGCCGCTAAGTTGATAATGATCAAGATCATAAAACCCTACCAAACTACATGACCTTGACTCACCTCCCACTTAAGGCGCGTTCAAATTAGCCGCTGTTAGCTGCTGCAGCCGCGCGGCGGCCGCGTGGTGGCCACGCGACTGTCACTTTTCAAACAATTCTAGACGCGCTGCAGCAGCGCGACTGTCGCGCGGCCGCCACGCGGTTGCAGCGCTTCTAGAAATTGTATGAAAAGTAACTATCGCGCGGTCGTCGCGCGGCTACCGCGCTGCGGCAGCGCGGCTAACAGCGACTAATTTGAACGCGCCCTTAGTCTAACACTACCCCGCTATCGCCCGCTTAATACCTTTCGAACTCAACGACCAAAAACTTCATTCGAAAAATTTTGTTCTGTTTGAAACTTAATACATATAAGTATATGACACTTTTTATGCTAAGTATACTCGAATAACGGCCTTCGAAGTGTCATTTTTTGACAAATCTGGAGATATATCGGTCCGGTTGTAGTGGTGCAACGACTTAATCACATTGTAATTGTCATGACACGATGATTGGTCAATTTCAATATGAATGTCGAAAGTTAAAATCAAAACACCATTACATACCAATACGCCACATATCTGCAATAGGTACCCGTTTTGCATGAGAAGCACACATTCGTGTATTGGAAAAAAACTAATGCGACAGATAATTTTTTTTAAGTTTTTTGGTTTTTTTTTATTAAGTATAAGTGCGCATTTGACCTCCATCTCACCTGATGGAAAGTGACGACGAGGTCGACGATGGAGCATGCACACCTAAATTATGCCTATTCACTCTTGCCTTGAAAAGACCCAAGTTATAACGTTCAGAACGAACTGCATTCTAGTTGCAATGCAACTGCAAAATAACAGCTTGGATGTAGTTCGTGCAACTGTATCGCAATTGCAAAATTGCAATTGAAATTCTATCGGAGTACGGTGTTTGTGACTACGCACTTAAATGTTACTTAATGATCAGTGATCTATTGCTTCGTCACTTACCAAATAGGCATGACTGTTATTGTGAATAGTATTTTAGTTTGCAAGTTACAAGTCAGTTTATACATAGCTTTCGTTGCATAACTTACTCGTACATTGTACGTTTTACGGGATAACATAAAGACAGCTATTTGAATAGAACGATAAATTTCGTAGCTAACATACCAGACATTTTGATAATATTTAAATTTCCCATGTTTTAGATTTTTGTGTTTTGAGGAATATTTGCAGAAAATCCCGTCAGAAGAGTCGAGAGGTTCGGTAATGAGCCCGTATTTTGATACATTGAAATCTTTACGACGAGTTGACGATTGGACTGAAGAAGCAGTACACAGGGGAGTGCAGCTACAGTACGTTCGCTAATCTCCAGCCTGTAAGACCCACCTTGGTTATAATTTTTAAAACAGAAATAACTTTTGGCTACTTTTTTTTTTTTTGTTTAACCAAAAGAAATAATTACTTTAAACATCATAATTTGTCGATTTTATTTGATCATACTTAAATACAAAACCTCGGATCGGCAGTATCATAAAATCTCCAGATGTACTTTGTGATTGTTAAAATAGGCCGACATATTTTTTTATAAGCCGTTGATCAATCGAACTGTTTATCTTACAAAATACTGATATTCTCACACTATAGCCCATAATTTACTTATTGCGGGCTGATGAACTCGCAATCAATTGTTATTAATAACGATTGCCGTTTGTCATTCTAAAAGCAAATCTCACATACGATTTGCCACACCTAAAGATATAACTATGTTTATAAATTCTTTATTGTCATTAAGACCCCTATAAAGTTATCGAAATCATTAGGTAGTTTTCATACACGGCCGGCTAATTAACCTACTGAAGTGTTATGTTGCTTAATAAATAACACCCTATGTGCAAAGAAACAATCTATACAGTAGCTACATGTCGATGGCGTGAGCATAATTTCAAAACGAAATTATCCATCGACAATCAACTTGCGCTGGCAGCGGCAACATAGAAATGAAAATTGTTTATTGCGAAGCTGTGTCCGTATATCCATTAAATAACGTATGTTAGGTATATAGAGAGTTGCTGCTTCTTCTTCTTGTTTTAACGAACGCATTTGCATTTTGGTAACGTTCTAGATATTGGCACCAAAAGTTTTTTTTTTGTTTCAATAATGTGAATTACGCTGATTTTACTGCAGAAAGTACTGACCGTACCGGAGTATGTATTTGTCTCACACGTACACGCACGCACGCACGCACACACACACACACACACACACATACACACACACACACACACACAAACACACACACACACACACACATACACACACACACACAGACACACACACAGACACAGACACAGACACACACACACACACACTCACACTCACACACACACACACACACACACACACACACACACACACACACACACACACACACACACACATACAAATATAACAAACGTAAAAACTAACTATAAATAACAATCAAATTGGATTTTTATTGTTCGGTTTTTCACATAATATTTTAATTTTACTGATATTTTGAAAGTTTAATGCCCAGTAAGTATGTAATTGTAATATTTTCTAGCCCTATAACTTTAGGTTACATTACGAGATAGTTCGTATCTAACACTAACACGTAAATTAATTACGTGATTTATGGCTCATAAATAGGTACAACTTAAAGTTGAAATACTGACGACGTCAATTCGGAGTACAAAATAGCAAACTAATCGGTAATTATATCCATTTTCAAACACTTGAGGCACAATATACGGTTCATTCGCCGATGTCAACAAGAACGCATAGCAAATAATCGATGACTGCAATCTAGATTGACGATGTGATTTCATATAAAATAGTGACAAATGAAAGTCGCGTGTCTCGTGTAAATACATGCTTAAGCACTCATTGCCCAGTTATCCATCCCAGATCACCGATGTTATCCCAAGACCTTGCTTTGGCCACACTCTACTAACCCTCCATTGTCTTTAAATATTGTCGCCATTGCTACAGACAACCTTCATTGTCTATCTGATCCCAAACTATCAGTACAAAACTAACAATTAACCGGTACAGTTGGATAAATTCGCAAAAATTTTTGTACATATTCATTACCAAACAACAGAACAACACCATATCTTTTGCAACTGCATGAAAAAGATGGTATTCCACATACTTTAATAAACAATCGTGTATATAATTTTACGCCGACCATGAGCATCAGCCCAGAAAATCCACTTCCACCATATCAGATCTTGTAATGCACCAATTACAGCCCAAAGCAATAAAAATTACCAAACATATATGTGGTATTTCATAACGGCAATTTCGTACGATAATAAAAATATTGGTTCTAAATTTTGTGCGCGTGCATGAGGCCATTCTTTGTTTCTACTAACTGATTGAGTACATTCCCTTTTAATGCTTGCCCTGTAATGACCTGTGTGTTTAAATGTTAAATGTTCTTACACCTTCTAGAACATTATACACAAAGTAACTAACAACGAGCCTCTAAATCTTACCATAGTACACAATATCAAGTTACTTCATTAAAGTCGCTATGTGAATGTAAAATACAAAGCTACAATTTCATCCAAAATGTTGTCTTATCCTTAAAAGTTGGGGATATTTGCATACTTACTTATCACGAGTTCTTGCCTCCCTTTGGGTCACAGGCTCCCATATTGACTCTAAGTTTTGTCGCGCTGTATCTGTTTAATACAGACTATCTGGTGTCATGGAACATCTTTTCTATGTAGATTTTTTGATAGTTAGTGTATAGCTACGTCTACTTTAACATTACAAATTGTTAATTATTATCATTGAAATTACGTTTGCTCTTGTTTAAAACAAAGCCTAATATGAGCATTTATTAAAAAAAAAACCTTTTAAGTTTCTCTGTTGAGACCTGACGTTAATAGATTTACAATGCAATGCTTTTAAATATTTAAATCTTGTTTAATGATATTCGTGATGACATTCTTCTTATTCCCATACTTACGTCTCTAATAGGAACATCTGTTGTAATATCCGTTATGTAGCTTCCGTTTACAGTGTTATTTTGTCCATTACTTCCTACGAGTACAATAGTAACCTCATTGCTTTTGTCTTCGACTAATTGACTATAGTCAAATTGTCCAAAATGTTATTCGCTTTCGCTTTTTGTAACTCATATGTTACTTTCTTTTATTTTTGCGAGTTAACCAAATTTGTCATGGCAACGTTACGAATCTAATACATCCTCTCGTTGATCACTGTCTAGCATATATGCATTTTTGTTATGGTCTAATGATTATTATTACGTGAAAGTTTGTCTCGTATCTTTATTACTATATTTTGGTTTCGTTTTTCGTTTCATCGTTATTGTATTTAACATTCACAAGACGTAAAACTTAACACAGTACTTTCTCTTCAATAATATATTATTTATTAGGATAAAAATGTGGATGATACATAAAAAACAAATAAACAAACATTTCACACAGTTTTATTTAAAATCAGCCTCAACTCAAAGTATTCGTTTACTTTGACAAGTTACATAGTTACAAACAAAGCATATAAAGCTAAAAAAATAATAACAGATAATTATTATATACAACTGGACTGACCGCGCATTGTGGGCAATGCTATGCGGAGATAAAACCTTAATTGGACGTGCCAGCCCTAATCACTCACCGATGTGAGTACCTTTAACAGCACCGAGACAACAAATTTTGCAGAAATATATACACTAAAATACTAATTGATCACATTTTCAACTTAAACCTATAAGGTACGATGTGAGACCTAACGAACTAGACACTTCAGTGCCAACCGTGATGTTGCTCATGCTCTTTCTTGATAATATAAGGCACATGCACCTTAACGGGATACGGAACCTCCTTTACGAGAGGGACTGGCACCTCTTTGTATACAGGGTAAGGCTTATCGATGGGCACCTTGACTTCAAAAGGAACTTTCCTCTCAACTGTGTAAGGAACCTTCTTGTATACATCATACGGTTTTGGTACCGGCACCTTAATGTGGACAGGGTAGGGCTTCTCAACCTCGACCTTGTAGGGTTTGTCGACTGGTACTTTAACTTCGTACGGTACGGGTTTGTGGACCGTGACTGGGTAAGGCTTCTCAACCGGTACAGGGTAAGGTTTAGGCACGTATACGTTGTAGGGCTTGTCGACTGGTACTTTCACTTCATAAGGCACCTTCTTGATGACTTCGTAAGGCTGGGGCACTTTGACTTCGTACTTAACTGGGACTGGCACTTTCTTTTCAACAGTATAGGGCTGGGGATAGGGAACTTTAACTTCATAAGGGATTTTCTTCTCAACGGTATAAGGAGTGGGCACTTTGACCTTGACTTCGTAAGGCTTATCGACTGGGACTTTCACTTCATAAGGCACCTTCTTTTCTACGGTGTAAGGCTCAGGGACGTACACGGGGTACTTAACGTATTCCTTGACGGTTACTGGCACTTTCTTTTCGACAGTGTAGGGCTGAGGTACGGGCACTTTGACTTCGTAAGGCACTTTCTTTTCAACGGTGTAAGGAACATGTTTCTCGACAGTGTAAGGAACGGGAACCTTTTTGACGATCTCAACATGTTTAACATGACCGTGGGACTCGATAGGCTTCCATTCGCCACCGCCGTATCCGCCACCATATCCGCCTCCGTATCCGCCTCCAGATCCGCCTCCGAATCCGCCTCCATGTCCTCCTCCATATCCGCCTCCAGATCCGCCTCCGAATCCGCCTCCATGTCCTCCTCCATATCCGCCTCCATATCCGCCACCGTATCCGCCTCCAATGTCACCGCCGCCATGTCCGCCTCCGAATCCGCCACCAATGTCACCGCCGCCATGTCCGCCACTCAGGCCCTCGTGACCACCAAAGTCTCCTCCACCACCACCGAAACTAATTTCCTCATGACCCCCGAAACTGTGCCCCTCATCGCCGCCGCCGAAGCCACCACCGTAATGGCCTGTTTCGTAAATGCCTCGCTTCTCTTGCTTCTTGTCTTCGGCAGCCGCTTTCTTTGGTGCGCCTTTCTCCTCGCTGGCAAAGGCCACCACGGCCAATGAGGCTACTATAACAACCTGGAAATAAAAGAAAAATATGTTTAGCTACTCATTCTTCTTATTATGTACGAACTGGGCTCTTCATGGTGGAATAGAATAATCGTCAACCATCTCTGTTGAGCGCATTAACTTTGAATACCTGACTAGCAACTCACATACACATAAATTTATTAAAAAACAACCTTTTAAATATAGGCCTACTACCCCGTATCGATACTGGGACGTATGCATGTGTCATTCTAAAATTATTCTAAATCCTAGACGGGGGAAAGGCATTAGTTTTGAATGCAAAATGCTGTAAGGAAGTCATCAGTCAGTCAAAGCACGAAACACACATCTACTCTTAAAAAGCACAACGCAATCATTAGTGCTGGGATTTAAAGGAAACTTAATTTTTGCACTACATATTTGAATATCAGAAATATGGATTGAGGCAATACGGATACAACTTAAACTTATTATTTAAAATCTTATACGTCATGTCTTGTTGCCATTTACAGCGTTTACATAATGCCTTCGTTCTCAGAAAGCAAATTATAGTCGCCTCTTGACACTAGAAGCTTACAGCATAAACTTTCCAAGATCCGTTATAGATAATTGTTGAAATTATTGTACCCGTGGGTACCAGCACATTGTCTAAGCTAATAAGCTACATTTAAGATGCATTGTGTTTGGATTTGTAGTTTTTATTTGGTTTCCGTGACTAATAGTAATTGATCTATTGAATACTTTATTATGTCTATTGAAGGCTTATTTTCGCATCTGTTAATCGTTAATGAGTTTTTTTATTAGTCTTAAAAAATGCATTATTTCTCCAAAACCTTTAACGTACAATGACGTATCATCAAGTATCACCTAAGAGCACAATACGATGTATAATTAAAACACTATTGGTCTTATAATAATACGTTTATTAACCGATAAAGATATGATGAGATTGTAAAAATATCGTTGCTAAAGCTGCTATCTATGAGACTAGTGATACAAAATTCTCAAACAGTTTGGCGATTTCTAATGCAACAGCCTGCACTGTTATTTCCTTAAAAGCAGTTATGACAATCTATAAGCACAATTTAACAGTGATGTAACTGTAACTGTCACTGTTGGGTGTTATCTTTGATCTGCCTATTCCGAAACATAAATGGTCTTCGTAATCGTTCACGATTTTGTTATACATTGCGCAAAATACAAATTTCATTTTATTTCCGGCTTCAAAAAGGTTATCAATTGAATAACAATTTCTCTTTTTAAACTTCAAAACAAAATTGCTTGAAAATATATTGTTTTCCAGTGTATCTTCAAAAACAGTCTTTTGATTTTCACGCACACATTAAGGTTTATCACTTGATTATTTGTTGTTGTAGTTAATAATTTCTTGTTCATATGTTATTTGTGTATGTATCATTTAAACATTATTTTCGTTTTTTATTTTCTTACTACTGTGTTGTTGTTTTTTTAATAAATTATCTTAGTCGAATTATTTGTTGTAAGTTTTTTTATTAAAAACGAAATTGTCAGTTCGATTCGAGAGTGTAAAAGACATTCTGAGTTATATGTGTACAAAACGAAATTAAATTTTGTTCAAAGCTCGCATTGGAAAGGCATTTATGAGCTTATATATCTATCCACCTGTAATGTAATTTCAATAAGAGTATTTTGTAATTGTTGCTACACTTTTATAGTCTCTTTTTAAATTCCCGCTGTGTTTTAAATTCCCGCAATGCAAAATTATTTGGTTTCGACATTTTATCAATACCCAATTCATTATCATCATTATGTTGCTGAACTTCAATGAACTATTTCACTTCTTGTAAAGACGAAGAAAAAAAACAACGCGAGCTCCATAAATTTTTTAAACATTTTATTATGTTTCCTATTCGTTGTTAAAAATTTACGGTTTACAAGACTTCAATTAGACTAAATAGTATTACTGATCCGTTAACAAATGAAACAGATAAAATTATTTGCTAGAACAAACTGTCTAGTCAATCAATCAAGTACTTTCCCTGGTTACATAGCCAGAATGCGGAATTTGTTAATAGAGAAATATACTTGCATACAAAGTCACCTCACCTTAAGCAAAATACCATAAAATTTAAAGAAGCCGACAATAATCTAACGATATCGTTAGATTTGTTTGATCGCCCTGTACGCGGATGGTACTGGATCGTGGCGATTGGCACAATAATGCAGAGGCCTATACCCAGTAGTGGTTGATGTAGGCTGAATATGATGATGATGATGATGACACTAATAATTCTGCCGAATTCGATTATAAACGATAAAAACATCTGTTCGTTTGCAAATCCCATTGTAAATTACTAAAGGTCAACAATAAAATATCCAAACAAATTAAAGCGATTTCGAAAGCAGTTTCTTTGATCAAAATGAATCAAAATACAAAATTGGAGAAACATAATTTTAAATAGATGCGATAACTATGCATCTTAAAATTAATTATAGCGCGACGGTATATAATTTTCTTAAATGAAGATATTAATTTTGAGACACGAAGTAATTTCACTTGGTCACTAAAATTTTTTTTTAATGTAGGGACTATTCCATCGCTCATACGAGTGACCCGGTGAACGAAAGATCATTGTCCTAAGAAAATACCCGTGTTCGGCCTTGGGACATAATATACAACACTGCAATTACACATAATTTGGTCATTACGTTCGTATTATAGTGCCTGTTATCTATCTATTTATGTTACAATGAAATATACAGCGAGCTCAAAATTTCCACCCCACATGATCCCAAAAGAGAGTTACGCCACTTGTATGGTAACTTTCACTTAAAAAACGAAGTGGCGTAATTAATACGGTCATTCGTACGTACTATGACGTATGTCTAATTGCTACTAAGAAACTGGGCTAATCACTTTATGCCCTGTTGCGCGGCATAAGAGCTATCCACACAATGTAAATGCAATTGTCTTTTCATTAAAGTGACGCAATTTTAAATTCGTGTAGTTTTTTGATGTTACGCAATCGCGAAACTGAGAATTGTTTTAAAAATTAGATGTCGAAATTGAAAGAGACATTATGCATTTGTTTTTCAAGAAACACCGTCTGTATACGACTTTATTATAGCATTGGTTTTTATGATGTCGCTCACAGCATCACACACGACCGTTGCAAGCGATTCTATATAATTCTAAAATAGCAACAGGTACCCTGCGTGAGAACCGCCTTATTAAACTTAATATCTCATCGAAAATGAAACTATTCTTTGCGGATCGAAAGTATTGTACATTTTCTATGTGTAACAACCGCGAAAATATTAAAATTACTAAATACATACATTAATTATGAGCGTTAAAATAAAACAATTTACTTATTTATTATTATCAATTAATCGTATCTAGGTTAATCGAACGTAATGTTTCGCGTTCCTTTCCATCAGCTTCCTAGCCCCATTAGCCGTTACATCGAGTGTAATAATGACTACAGCACGTAAACGCGAGTATAATGTTGTTGCGTAACTAGTTACGCATCTGTGCTCTAAATGATTCTGTCGATCAATATTTAAACGGCCTGTATGTTGGAATTATTTGACATAGAATTAATTATTATGCATTTTAATTGCGTACAGCGTGTTTTCTTGTTTATTGGTCGTATAATTGGTACATTTTTTTTGGTACAGCTTTTAGATAAATAATAAAACGCACGTTCTTGGGGTAATAAAGCCAACAGCAAAATTGCAACTTTTTGGAAGAGAGGTTTAAAGATTGCACGAATTAAATTAGTCAGTAACTTTTTTATACTTTATATGAGAGTTATAAAATTTCACACATATTTTGTTCCATTTACTTCGTATTAATTTTACGATTATCATGTCATAGGTAAACATGTGGCTTTATTATACGAAGGATCCAAAGTGGTAATTAATTTGAATTTTAGAGGACAATTTGGAGGCCTGTAGATTAATTTACATTGTATCTTTAGTATACTTTTATACAGCTTTAATAACACATCTTAGTTTATTCGTTTTTCTCTTCGTGGTCAAGGTTGCATACTGGTTTTCATGATATCGCCATCCGATCCCCGGACGGGTCAATATATAAAAACTAACTTTTCTATATTGTCTCGGGTCTGGGTATTTGTGGTACCGTCGTGGTTTCCGATTTCCATAACACAAGAGCTTTAGTTACTTACTTTGGGATCAGCTAAACGTATGTGATGTTTCGAGTTCTTAGGTTTTCGCGATTGTTACACATAGGAAATGAAACTATTTTTCCGGATTTAAATCGCGTATAATATGTTTTTTCAAACAAACCGACGTTTCGCGTCCTTTACAGGTACCATGGTCACGGTTGACTGAGGTGATACAGTCTTCGTCGTTTTGTTTGAAAAAACAAATATACGCGATTTAAATCCGGAAAAATAGTTTCATTTCCTGTATGTGATGTTGTCTAATATTTATTTAATCAAAATTATTATTTTAGTTTATTACTGGACTATGCAGAACAAAGAAGGGGTATTATTTAGAAAAATCTGTAGTAACTGTACAATTTGTCAAATGGAGGCAGGTATTCTAGACTTAGAACAAAATTACTATATACCATGTTAACGATATGTAGTTAATAGTCAATCTATGCACTTAACGTTTTCCGACAATTTTCATACTTTCTCGTAACTGCATCTGACGTTGTGTCTGTGTATAAAGTTACGAGTTGCTTTACGAGAAAGTGAAAATTGTCATAACCAGTTTAAGCACGGAAACTGTAGAAGTATCGTGATTAAGTAAACCAAAGCTGTTTGTGAATAAATTATATGTTATTCATATAATATATGTATGTAATAAAGGCTTATGTTTTGAGCTATTTTCGCGTATCGTCGCGTAGTAGTTTTGTACTATGCGGTACATTTAAAAAAATAAAAGAGTGTTATAAGCGTTGAGAGTATAATAACGCCTGCTACGTCGGAGAGCTTGGATTCGGTTCCCAGCTAGAGCCCTGCGCTACCGAGTTATTTATGAAAAGTCGACATGTACTACTTTTTAGTGGAGGAAAACATCATCATGAAACCTGCATGCGAATT